TCCACTCTGGCAGTGGATTAAAAAAATAAATACAACAAAATACCCTTGGCAAAGCCTCCACAGCTGAATTTGGGTGGACCGAGCCAGCAAGTGATTTATGTTTCTTATTTTAAAATTGATCTGAGGGAACTCTCTGTTTGCAGACCAGGGGTAGCTTTATGGGATGCTGAGGCATCTGCAAAGAAAAAAGCACCACTGGGGCGAAATGGCTGGAATTTACACAGGCACACCTACCCCCAGCACTGTCAATCTCCAAAAGAGCCTGGTAGGCCCGTTCCTGCATCCATCAGCCCATCCTGTAGTCCTTGCGGTCAGCTGAGAAACCTTGCACCCACCCTTTCCTGAGCCCCCATGCTGGCTGGAGGTACCCCACTGAAAACCGTTCTTGCAGAGATGCTACCTGGGCATCTGGCAAGCCAAAAAAAAAGCCACTCCCTCTGCTGCAGAGTCACAGCATCCATAATCTCCTGGGGAAAGCACAGCTCTGGTGACTGGGATCTCCCCAAACTGGGCATCCTTTAGTATTGGTTACAGGCAGCTTTAAAAGAATCTCTCTCCTGGTCCTGCTTGGTCTAAATTTTCCTGCAGAAAAGCCTACTGTCTCACCACAGAAATCTCCCCTCCAGGGAGAAGGGGCACATCTCCATGCACGGGGAAGCAATTTACAGGGGATCCTGTGGGTCTAATCTCCATGCTGGAGACCTCAAGTGGCTCTGCAGAGACTGCAAGTGCCCCTGCGATGGGAACTGGGCTCTCCAAAGAATCAGCTAACTGTCTGCCATTGCAAACTGCATCCTCTTCACAGGCCCCACATCTTTCCCCTTTGTGAAAGAAAACAAATGTGATCTGTGTTCGAATATCCAAAAGAAATCACTGCGGAGGCTGGTAAAAAGGGCGTGGGGGAAGGTGCAAGTTCCCACTTTGTTGCTTCCTCATAAGCTCTGCAGCTTGCAGGGTGGATCCTGCAAGGTACTGCTTTGTCTTACTTATGACAGGCCAAATCCTTGCAAGTTCTTAACGCTAGGAAAGGACTTTAATGGGACCTGAGATGTGGATCATGCTCAGATTAGCAGAAATAAAGCAGGCTACTTGGCAAGACAGCAAATCCACCCTTCAACCAGAGGGGCCCCTGAGCTCTACCTCCATCAGGTATTCTATGAGCAGGTACAAACCAACACCAGTTCCCCAACAGTAAAACGCTGTTCTCTGCCATCCGCCAAGAGCTACTTTGCGTTATGCTGCATTTGTGCAAGAACTGGCACTTGGCTTCCATCCCCGAGACAGAAATGAACATCAAGTATAGTGAGGACAAACAAGTCCTTGACAGACAAGGCAAGACAACCTGGAGATCCCAAGCTTGTAGGAACAAAAGTATCAGGGACTTCAAACCCCAGAGCCCTGCGGGCCCCTCAAGTCCTATGGGCGGGCAATTTCGGTGGTATTCACACAGTCGCAAATTGTCCCTTGAAGCAGGGATTTGCCAACAGCTAATGATAACAGTGACTCGGGACGGGATTTGTCCTGAACAGGGGCCTGTCCATTCTTGCACTCGTTAGGCAACAAGCGCATGCCTGGTATTTTTCTGCTCAGAGATATCGTCACACCAAAAAAGTCTTTCCAGCTTTTTGATGGGGGTTGGCGCTTTGAGGGTTTGTTCTGCATGGCTTGAGCTGAGCCATGCAACCCTAATTCCCTATGCCAGCTGGCTTTGAATGGCACTGGATGCCAGAATCCTCATGCCCTGGGTCCTAGCTGCCTGGAAACAGCCTCAGTGCATGCACTGCAAGATGAATTTCAGCCTGCAAAACAAAAGCCACCAACTCCGTAAGAGGCTCTTCCCAGTATCTGAACACACCTGGGTGATGGCAGCTGAGTGGCCACCGAGGACAGCTCCCGGGCTACCACTGCAGCCTCCCCTCCTGCCGAGGTCAGAGCACTAGAGCTAGCATAGCTGTCCTCCTGCACTTGTCCCACAGGCAGTCTTCTGGTTTGTGTCTATGCCTGCCAGAGCTGGCAGCAGATGTGGATGTAGCTATTAATATTCACAGACAGAGCAAAGAACAAACAAAAGCCAATCCATTTAAAGGCAATGCTGGAAAGCAGTTTCACACCATCCATCTCCTGCAGGGCCTCTGGACCAGAGTTACAAAGAGGCTCCTGGAGTGCAGGGGGAGGAAAGGCCTGCCGGTAGCGGCTCCCTGGCAGAGAGCAGAGTGAACCCAGAGCTAGCCCGAGCCCAGCTAGGAGGAGCACCACGACGTTGCAGTCTGTTTACCTAAAGCAAACGCACGCAGTTCTGGCACGCCCTGCCAACACAGTCCCAGAGGCAGACCCATAGCCTCAAGGAGACCGGAATCTCAGTGCAAAAGGTTTAAAATCTCAGGCAAAGAGATTATGCCTTGCTCTGGCCCCTTCCTGATGGTCCTACCTATGTGCAGCCCACTCCAGGAAGGACTGGCTGCACCCCTGCACTTGCCAAACGTGGATGGTTATTTCCATCCTCTCAACTGATTTGCTTTGCTCTCTAGCAGGAAACTTTGGCTGCTCTGGAAACACCTCTTTCTTCACTGCTTCACTGTTTTCACACAAAGAATGTAGGCATCAGATTAAAGAGGTCTGGAAAACAGACAGCACAAAGAAAATCCCAAGGACAAGATCAGGGCAAATTATTTAGACTCAAGGACAGGCTCCTTCTTTTCACTGTTTAACAACAAGAAATGTCCAAGTCGTTCCCAGCTGGCAGGCAGTACTTCTTGGTAAGCAAAAGCTGCAGAGGGCTCTGCAGCAAATGCTGTGACAGGCACCGTCATGTATACGGAAAGTTCAACAGGCCGTGTATTTTGTCAGCTTTCTCAAATAGCATTTTAATGAACTTTTATTCTCTTGGAAATAAATCTATAGTGGAAAAATATGTGCATCTTAAGTAGTAATTTGCATGCTAAACATTATGCAACTTCATCTATAATGAGTTCATTGTTTCTGGGCTGCTTTATTAGGGCTGCAAATGATCTCTTGTGAAATCCAATGTAAGTGCTCAAGTGGCACTGCCCATGCATTTCGATCTCTGAGTATTTTATTGGATGCTTCTGCCCACGTTGATCTTTATCACACAAAAAATTGGCCACTTCACAGAGATAAAAAAAACACGCTCCCTAAGACTTCCCTCTAGGGTCATTAGAAAGGTGTTTAACGTCTCCTTAACGTGGGGCTATTCAGAGGGAACAATGCAACAGATTCAAACAGGGGAAGAGGTAAATAAATCAACTTACTATGCCTGAATGGCGTTGCCTACAATAAATCAGTAGGACTGACCCTTCCAGCAGGTAATGAGATATTCAGACCCTTTGAATACCTAGTATATATGGGACACAAGGTGGGAGGAAGGGTATGAAATGCAATCCCAGTTAAACAAGGAGTAGAATCCCAAATCTTTTAATTGCTTGAGGTGATGCCTCTGCCTCATGCATGTGTTTGAGGCCAGAAGGAGAGAAGGAGGTTGTGGGAAGACCCCACTCCCACCTTGCCCAGGAAGTGAAGTTTGGGCAAACCCTGGCAGGAATGATGAAAGGAATAAAATGTCAGTGTTTTGCCCCACTTGCATCTCCGTGTCTTGTCTCCTGCCCTTCAACCCCCCAGCACGCCATGGTGGTGCGGTGGGTGAGGAAGAGTATCTAACAATAACTTGCTCCCAGCTGCATTCTAGCCACCTCCCTTCCTACTGACGACAGTGAAAGCCAACAGCAGTCGCAGCTCTGCAATTCCTCCTCCCAGGCCCAGCCTTCTGCTTTCAGATATGCTGTATAAATACGCAATGTTAAATCAAAACAAGCCCTCTCTGTCTGGCTCCACTCGAGGAGAAAAACAAAAACAAAAACTATATATATATATATCTCTCCAACGCAGTCAACATGTAAACATATTTTTCTGGATCGCTTCTCAGACTTCAAAGGCTGCTCCCCATTGTCCCCAAAGGACACAAGCCCAGTAATCCAGAGATTGCACATGGACATGGACACTTCAGCACCTAGTCTGCCATGACCATGAAGCCCAAGTTTCCTGTCCCCCAAATACTACCTTCTGTGCAAAGCACACTTGGAAGTCATCACACACAAGACTGGCAGAGGCAGGATCCTGCCTGGTTGGGGTCCTTCTGTGCAGATCCCACCTCAGCAAGCTCTGTAAGGAGACTGTGCCCATTTGTGGTGGGAAATGGCAAAGGGTCAAACTTTCATTTTTTGACTCCTACAGCACTTATGTTTCTTTAGAAACCCAGAAAAGAGTTAACTCCTATCTGGAAAGACAAAGAGAGATGGTGTTCTGAGGGCCTGATGGGATGGGATGTTCCTTTCTATTCCTCCCACCATTGTTTCAAAATTATTGTTGAGATGAAAACTCCCCTTCTCTCCACATTCAACAGTCCTAGGAGCTGTGAAGCACTCCTGAGGGCCACAGAAATACTTCCAGATGTCCCAATAACACATATGGGGGCTGAATCCCTGCCTCTCAGCTGTGAGCCAGTGATGCACATCACCAGAGGAAGGCCCGCAGCACAAGGGAGGATCATGCAGCTGAGGGAGGGCTGAGAAGAGTCTCTTGCAACACTACTGTTGAGCAGACTGTGCCTCTCCCGCTCCCTTCCCTGTGATGCCAGGTCAGAACTCTCCTTTCAAAAGGAAAGGGGCTCTCCAGAGCCATAGAAGAGGGGATATTTTGCCAATGACTCATCACCACACCTCCAGTGGAGTTTTTTTTAAACACAAGACAACAGAGAGTCAATGCCAGCCTGCAAAGGTGTATTGCTGCACAGCTGCACACCCAGAGGGCCCTTTTCCAAGGAAAGGATGCAGTTTGTGCATAGGGTGGATGTCTTGCCCTGTGGTCCTATTCATAGCTCCCCGGCTGCCACTGTGACAATCAGAAGATCGAGCAAGTCTTGTGGAAGCTGCTCCAGGCTAGTGCATCGGAGACAATCTTCTCCCCTGTGCCTCTCGCCTTCTTGCCTGACGGCTCATGTTCACAATTACCCCTTGGACTCTGTCTCCATAGCCTGGGCCAAAGCCCAGCCAGGCCTCGCAGACATCCAGCCTGAGACAGACAATAAGAAAGGGCAGCAGCTTACAGCATGAGTATCGCTACCTGGTCTGCAATGAACTTCTGGATAACCTGGGGCAAGAGGATGGAGAATACAGCCCTTTTCCAAAACACAACCTCAACCATCATCTCCAACCACATCTGCTCGCTTGAACTGAATTAGCAGGGCCAATAAGTAACATGATTTTTGGAACTGCTGTGGCTGTCTTCTGACTCCACTGGGCAAGAAAGGCTCTTTCCCAATGCTAGATGGATGCTCAGGCAGAGGCTGTGCTTGTCCTATCCCACCTTGCCATGAAGGCAGGAGCCCCAGTTTGCCCCCTATGCAAATTGTACTCACAAGCTGGTGTTTTGGGGCCCCTGCTCTGGCAGCTGCTCCACCCTCCCTTTCTAGGACACTGGCAAGAACAGGATGCTGCTTGCCTGTGCTGGATCCTGGCATGCACAGCAACTACCCACTGACCCCCAAAGCAAACATACTACAATACAGATGGGACCCAGAGGTTTCAGAGGTTGCCAACCTGGTAACGGGTTGGCAAAGGCCCCACAAACAGTGAGCTTGCAAGGATCCATCCTGCCACAGAAAGCGCAGAGAGAGAGAGAGAGAGAGACCCAAGCTAGTTTTAGATATCTGCTAGCGCAGATGCCTGAAGCAGGGTATGTGGTAGAGCAGTCTCCACTCACACTAAATTGCTCTGCCTCTCAGTACATTCCCTCCAGGGTTAACATTTTGCATCACAGCATTTCTGGCTAATGTGTAAGCCTGGTCTTTCGCATAAGGTTAATGCAGAGCCACGCAAGGTGTTAGTGGGGAACAGTGAAGTGCATAACCCAATTCTTGCCCAGCCTTTACTGCTTTCCTCGGGCAGTGGGTGCTCCAGAAACATTGTTTTGCAAGACATAGTTGGCCTAAGTTATGGGAAAAAAAGAGAAGGAAGAGGTGGAGGTTGTGACCCTACACTGTGTTTATGAAAACACTCCTCCAGCAAAATAGCATCAGTGCTGCAATACTGTCCATGAGACGTGCTGCAAACAGTGCAGCTGGGGAGTCCTGTCCCACCCTGTCCCCCAGCCAAATTCACTCTTGTAACTGCTCAGCTGGAGGGCAGCTCGGAAGCCTAGATTTATAGCAGAGGCTTTGCAGCAAAAACACTCTTCCTAGAGCACTTTCTCTAAGCAAAAGATTGGAAAGTACTGATCTGCCAGAATGCAGCCCTTCTGATTGAAAATGCTATGAATACAAATCACTACGGGCCAATCTAAAGAAAATCACTGTTTTCATCTGTTTTCATTTCAAATCAGAACAAGGCAATGATGATAACACTGACTCTGAATTTCTGTGGCTTTCACATTCATTTAATTGGAGAATTTCCAAACCTTCTCTTCTCATTGTTTGTATTCATCCCCTGCTGAATCCTCCCCCAGATGGCTCAAGCCCTTTGCCCCATGTCACGGCATCCCAAATCACAAGCTGCAGGCAGAGTACATCTAAGCACGACAAAGCAGGGCTGGCTGGTTCTCCCACAGCTGAAAGCCCATGGAGGGTGGCTACATCTTTATATATTTCTGGGAGGCAGCTTAAGTTTTACTCCAGGTTTAGGCAGCTTCATGTGACTTGGACTCCCAAGTCCATTCAAGGTGGTTTTGAAATCATTTCGACTTTATAATAAGCATCCCAATAGGATAAAACACTACGAGGAGCATTCGTGACCAGCTTTTTCACTGTGGAAAGCCAGAAGTACAGCTGGATGTCTATTGGCTGCGAGCCGGGCAGGCAGGCAGGCGTATGAATTACTCACTGACATTTAAAAAGCTGTCTTTACAAAGCTTTTAACCTGCTTGGCATGAGTTTGCCTTGGCATGCAGATGCAGCTTCCCGCACAGCTCAACGCGTACATAGCTATAAGAGGAAGATAAATCTCCTGGGCGATGCTATTTACATCGGAGTGCTCGGCATATAGTTTGTTTTACTAAACGCAATTTGTTTTAGTAGAGGTAGGGACAGAAACCAGACAACACCCGCAACGTGGCTAAATCCTACCGCAACACAGTGCTTTTTTAGTTTCCTCTGCTGGGCTGCAGCCTTGGGTGGGG